TGTTATACCTTGTGCAGGAACGAAGATAGACTACTGATCGCTGTAACAGATCCCTGCATTTTAGATCCTTAACTTAGCAGGTGTCAAGAGAGAGAGTGTGTAAAATGTCCTGTTACAGGTACAACTTAAATTGGTTGTAGCCATGATCCATATCCTAAAGAAAAGCAATGCAAACCAACTATGAGCAACTTTTGCTGGTCACAATAATTGGCAAAATGGATATGTGTTATGACTCCCCTTCAAAATTCAAACGAACAAAACAGACAGCAGCCGTTTCACAATTAAATCAAACGGAAAGAAGTCTTACAAGGTAACGGCTGGCAGAAATCTCAATCCACAGCATAAATCTTTACTCTGTCCGGCAAACCAGTCCTGGCAATAAATCTCCAGTCTCAGAGCTCTTTGCTGTAACGTCCTCACTCAAATAGTCATTTTGTTCCTGGCAAAATGTACCAGCCCAGCTGTGTCCTTTTATACTCATTGAGGCAAGCTGCTAATTTACTGACTCGCTCTCCTCCTTCGCTCCAGCTGATTTTGCCTTTTCAACCGTCTTCTATTTTTTACATTTAACCACAAATTTTCCAAGTTCTCATCTCCACTAGAAGACTCTCTCAAAACTTCCCTGTCAGCCATTCCCGGCTGTTGATCAGAGAAGGAACCAGAGGAGGTCAAAGGTCCTGACAATTCTAATACATCAGGTCTGTCGTCCTTTGTCACGTCCATCTCCTCATCCTGGTTATCAGTTCAATCACTAAGCCAGGCCGGCTCATATTTTTCTGCCATGACCTCCTCACTTGAACTCATATCAGTCACAGGAGCTGAATCCAAGCCCGGAGCCACAACAGATATGAATGTCATAAATTTGACCCAAAGACACCCAGCCGGCTTTCGTGCCTAAGGCAGGACTAGAACTGACCATCTCCGGGTGATTGGTCCAAAGTCACCCAGTTGGCTATCATCCTTAAGATGGCACTAGAACTCACCGTCTCCTGGTAATTGGCCAAAAGTCACCCAGCCATCTATCATTCCTAAGGCGGGACTAGAATTCACCATCTCCTGTGTGATTGACCGAAGGTCCCCAAT